AGACGAGAGGGAACCCCCAGGTGGGTTCAGATTGCGAGGCAGCTGAGTCCAATGGGCACGGCAGATGGGGCAGGTAACACTACCATGGCGGACATTGGAGGAGATGCAGGCAAAGTGGAAAGCATGGGAGCACTGGGCTGTGAATATAGCAAGACCTGGGGTGCTGCTCTTGCTATGGTAACTCAGAGGGTCTAGACATATTGCGCACAAATTCTGCCACGAGAATCAACAAATAAAAAGGTAAGGAGACAGATCTGGAAAGAAGAAAACATATTGCAATGACAAACTCAAAATGACTGGAACTGCAATCTAACTAGTGGATGTGCATTGCTCAAACATATACATTTTCTATTCTAGTCCAGGTCTGGCTATTTATAGAAATTTTTATTATTATTACTCATGCATTGAAGAAACCAGTAGTTCGAATATGATGCATATGGATTTGGAACTATTCATAAATCTGATGTATTGCTGAAGCTCAATTCTCAAACAACTGCTATCTGTCAAAGGTTATACATTAATTCACTGTATTAAGAGTAAAGTGATTGTGATCTAGTAGTAACAGCATGTTTTGGTGCAACAATCAAGTTCTCCATCATCATATTATCCTTTTACCTTAACAAAGGAAGACCAAAAATATTTTGGTAAGAGTAACTTTCAACAAAAAAATGTTCATTCATATCATCAGCATAAATTACGATATGTCAACATTTATTATGCTTGGTGTGGGGTCATGTGCAGAGGGGGTTCAATCTGTTGAAAATAGAACCAGTTCTTTTGAAGATTATGCACCAAAATTGTAGTACAAATTAAAGTATTGAAAACTAAATGGGATAGGTAGGCATGAAACTCTAATAGTTTAAAATCATCCATATTGAAAATTGGTGAGGCAGGGCAGGGTGTGAGTTTCACAAACAGAGCTGGGCTTACGATTCACGAATGAATAACGTGATATCATGAATTCATGACAGCCAGTGCTAGTAGCAGGCGGAAGCAAATTTTAAAACGTGGGATCTACTGTCTCTGGGTGCCTAATGGTGGTGGGATGGGAGTCTCAACTTGACTAATGTGCATGTTTCAGGGGCATTCATTCAAATGTCATACTAGTCTTGTAAATATTATGTCATTTCCCAACTGGAATGTGTGAAAAGAGTTGAGACCCCCAAATTTCAATTCATCTGTCCTAGTTTCATATTTCCCAATTCACAGCCACCTGGGAAAACAATTAATTCCTCAATTTTTCTGTATGTATATATCGGCTTAATTAAAGCTTTACAGCCACTCCACACACCAGAAGAAAAAAAAACAAAAAAAAACAAACAAACAATCAGAAAAATCCCAACTCTTCCTTTCGCCTTTCTTTCTTTCTTTGTTTTCCTGCTGGGGGTGGGACTGAGGACGAGCAATAGGATAGGATTATTCTAGAGAGTAAAGAAGTTTGACTGAGTGAAAGGCACACCAACAACAGCATGTTGTGGCAAGAAAACAAAACAAAACAAAAATAAAAGAGGCACCTTAGTTGAAGTTGAAGGCATATTGTTACTCTTGATCGTAAATTCCGTTTCCTTTGCAACTTCTTCTCCTGAGATATTCTTTGGGTTTGTGGGAGACACCGCTGAAGAACCTGAGATCTATAAGTATAAACAAAACAAAAAAGAAGAAGAAAAAAAAAAAACCAAGTGTTTAAAATAACATACAGATACAGACACAGTAGCAGAAGAAAATAAGAAAAGCCAGGCGAGTTATACATGATAAAAAAGAAGGGCAAGGGAAGTGACGCAGCAAAAACATAAAGGAGAGGGTCCAACTATTTGGTTCTTTTTGAAATTTCCTGATTCGACAATCAAACTAGTAACTACAATTGAGAAAAGAATAAATGTTGAATTGGGGAAAGAAGATTTACAGAGGCAGTGGCTGTGGTGTTGGTATGATCGAAGAAGATGGGATCCACAAGAGCCTTTCTCCGGGAGAAGGAACCACAAGCATTTGCAGCTGCCACCACCATTTTCTTCGCTGCATTTCTCAGTTTAGATTTCGACGATGCTCCTCCTCCTGCTCCTCCCATTCCCATGCCCCTCTCTCTCTCTCTCTCTCTCTCTCTCTCTCTCTCTCTCCCCTCTCTTCTTCCCACTATTACTACTACTACTAAGTAGTAAGTAGTAAGTAGGTAATGAATGCTCCTCTATTATCTTCTTTTTGTTCCTCCGCTGCTACTATTGCAATTTGCAATGCAGACGACAGTGAGAGTTTCCCTTGCCTTCTTTTATCCTTCCCTAAATTAAGGAAGGGTAAATTGAATTAAGCGTTGCGTTGGTTTAGAAGCTACAATATAGTGATATACATACACACACATGTATAATATTAATAATTATAATAATGTATTGGTTTACCACTTTATTGCTCTTTTATCATTTTTTACCTTTTCTTTTGTCTTTTTTGTTTTCCAGAGACTCACCTTTTCTTTCTACCCCAGCACCCAGCCTCTTTCCTTTTATATTTTCGTCTCTCTCTCTCTCTCTCTCTGGTACTGGCACTGGTGACTGGTATATTTATTATGTACTTCAAACATTTTCCCCACATCAAAACTCCAAGATTTATTGTTAGTAATCCTTTTTCTGGTTTAACATGGATAATATGTGCGTTTGGGTCTGCCAATCCAACTTCCAAGGTAGCACATAAGGAAAAGAAAAAACGAAACAAAAAAACAGAAAAAGCAAAACGAGAAAAAGACCGTTGGGTTGTATTTTGAATTTCAAAGTTTTGCAAAAATATAACATCTATGATGGCAGACAAACTAAAGTTAACAAAGTAACTGGATGAGTTGGCGCCAAAAATGCTTTTCTTCCTCTTCAATTTGCATTCCGTTCCATATTTTCCATTTGGTAATTGCTTTTCTTCCACTTTCCCGTTCTCAAACATGGTAATTCTGACTGCTATGCAGAAGGAGTCTCGTTTTTTTTATAACTTTCGCTTAGTGTCGTTGATGGATTTTCAACATCCCTTGGCATCGATCTAAAGTATTCTGGATGCCATGTGAGTTTAGGATTAGGATACATGTACATCCTTGCTTGCTAACAAACATGAATGCTGATGACCAGTATGCGTATCGTTCTCAAGAATTAAAAAAGCTTTTCACTTGAGTGAGGAGAAATCATGATATCCTCCGAGGTTGTATCCAATTAATGCACCTTCTAGTTCTACCAATAAAGAGAAGAGAAAAAAGACAAGACATATGGGAAAAGGATGATCGAAGAAACCCTGAAATTCAAAACAAGTTTCCTTTAATTTGGAAAATGACTGATGCACTAAAGGTAACTATTGACAGTACTAGTATAGAGAGAGAGAGAGAGAGAGAGGGCCAGGGAATCTCTTTTGTGACTGACTGACATATGGGAAAGCTTCCAAAGATATGTGCTTGTCTTGACTCTTCACTCTTGCACATGAAAAGAAGGAAAAATTAAAAAGCAACTCAACACCCACAAAACAAAAGCACAAATCTGTTTGACTGCTTACACAACCTTGTGCATTTGACCCGGTCAAAGCCATTCAATAGCGTCCAATCCAATCCAATCATATTTTAAATCTTAAATTGATTAAGAGATGGCCTTTTAGTCTAATTTAATCGAGTGCTTATTTTTTGTCCATCTGTCTCTTTGTGTTTATCTGCAGACTGCAGTCTTTCTTGAGCAAAAAATTATGTCAATGTCGTATTTGTTTGGTGAGTGAAGCTTTGGCTGGTATCTTTCATAATTAAGCGAAATAATTTTAGGCGCACCTCGCTAAAACCACTAACATGTTCCAATCACAAATATTATGACCACATATATATATATATATATATATATGAATAATGATGGTCGTTGATAGATTTCCTTTCTTGACTGCTGCGACTGGCCCTTCGGTTACCTTCGGCTTTCCTTCAAACCCGGAGTTGCAGAACCTTCAAAAACAGTTTGCGTCTGCAGCGGCCCGGTGTTGGCCGGGGGATTGTTTTTGTGTTGTTTGCGTAGGTGTGCCACTGTTGGCAGCCTAAGTTCCAACAGAAAGTGACTGAAAAATGTAAAATGCGCTCTAATATTGACTCTAATCAATCGATTGTGAATTGGGTGGGGAACTGACCCAATAGGGTCTTTTCTATGTCTCAATGAAGAGGGCTTCAATATTTTTCTAATGCGAAGATAAGAACAAGTAGAAAATAAAAATAACAGAAATGAAAATGAGAAACACAATATGGAATTGAAGATTTCTCGATTCAGTTCAATATCAATTCAAATTCAAAGTAAATGATAGATAGCTACCATAAACTGATGATTTCTCTACTCAGTTCATTGTAGCTATAGACTTGAAAAAGTAATTGATAGTAATGAAAATGATGATGTTCATATGAAAATTTCTCTATTCATATAAACATTGTAATTAAAGTAAACATAGCTTGAAGATTTCTCTAGTCATACTTGATGCATAAAAAGTAAAGGATTTGGCCTAGCTACTGGGTATCAATACCAAGTGTTGGCAAAGCATAAAATAAAAAGATAACAATCATGAGTTGTCAACTGGTTATCTTGAAGGAAAGGCAAGTTGTTTCAAGCTTGAGGTTTTCAAGTGTTGAAGACGTTGAGTATAGAGAGTTGTACTTACTTGTCATTAATTTTGGTGAGTGGATTGCTGAAAAAGCAAGCAAAACCAGAATAGCCGCTTTGGTGTTGTTCCGGTGAAGCTCCCTAGGTAATTCAAAATATCTTCCAAGCAAAACTTGTTTCCCTCATTCAGCAAGCATACTTTAATATTTAAACTCAAAGGTATAAACTTCCCCAAACTTTCAACTCTCTTCATCTGTTACGCAGTAATAATAAAATGGTTCAAATTGTAGCTCAAAAGGATGCGAAATCAGGTGTGGGGAGTATAGCTTGGAGCTATCCCCCTCATCTTTTTGCAAAAAGCCACTCCACGGTGGTAAGTCTCATCTTGTGTGTTGGTAATATTATTGTTCAATATTATCATTATGATTCACTTATTTGGTGGCTACAGAAGAAAGATGAGTTGCCTTTTGAGTATCCCATCTCACAAATTTGTGGCAGAAGCTTCTCTTGTAGCAGTCCATAAATCTCAGCGGCCTGAGGATGAGATCTGTCCCCAACAAAAAATATATGGCTCCTGCCCTTCACTTCTATTTGACTAAAACCAGGAACTTTCTTCACTCTTCTCTCCTTCATCTTCTTTCTTACTTGAGCAAATTCTTCCCACTTCCCATGTGCTGCATACACGTTAGCTAAGAGTACGTAAGCCCCTGAGCTGGCTGGCTCTAACTCTAGTAGCTCCTTACCTATACGATTTGCCATTCTAACATCACCACCGTGCAACCTATATGCACCAAGCAATGCCCCTAGAACAGCAGCATCCTGCTCACAAGCAGGCATTTCTTCGCATACCACCCGTGTAGCCTCATCCACCAATCCTGCTCGGCCTAAGATGTCTACAAGGCAGGAATAGTGCTGGCCATTTGGTTTCAAATCATAAGCAAGATACATTGAATTGAAAAGCCTTTGACCCTTCTCGACAAGACCAGCATGATTACAAGCTGATAAGACTCCAACAAAAGTAATCTCGTCTGGCTTGGCTCCTGATCGTAGCATGCGTGCAAAGACCTGTAATGCATAGTGACCATATCCATGGTTTGAATATGCTAATATCATTGCAGTCCATGATACCGCATCCTTAGCCCCAAGATGCTCAAAAACAAGCCTAGCAGAGGTAACATCTCCATTCCTGGAATACATAGTAACAAGAACATTTGCAACTAATGTGTCATGATCAAACCCATGAGATATGACCAGTACATGAGCTTGCATGAGCTCCATCATGCCCTCACATGAGCTCAATACGCTAGTGATGGTAGTTGCGTTAGGCCTAAAGCAAAACCGAAGCATGAGAATTACGTGCTTTAAGGCTTCCCCTCTGGACCCACTTTTGGCATAACCACCAATCATCACATTCCAAGTAACAATATTCCTTTCCCGCATCAAATAGAACAGCTCACTAGCTTCTGTCATGAGGCCTTCGTGAACATATGATGTGATCATAGCATTCCAAGCGGCTACATCTTTGTTAGGCATCCGATCGAAGTACCCCCTGGCAAGTTCAACCATATTGTTGTCTGCCAGACCTGTAACCATAGTTGTCCAAGATATTGCGTTCCTTTGAGGCATTGAATTAAAGAGTTCAATGGCTTCACTTACTCTATTCGCATTTAGATAACCTGAGAGCATGATATTCCAAGTATATAGGTTACGTTGCGGCATATTATTGAAGAGATCAAGTGCCTCATCTAATTGATCATTCCCAACAAAAGCCTTGATCATAATGGTACACGAGACGGTGTTCCTTTCAGGCATAAGGTCAAAAACATGGCGAGCTTCATCAATCATGCTGTTGCGGACATAACCCAGAAGCACAGTAGTCCAGGAGACCACATTTTTGACAGGCATATGATTAAAAAGCCGGCGACCCTCCTCAACTTGTCCGCAACTGAAATACCCAGAAATCAAACTGGTCCAAGAGTACACATTTCTGTTTTCCATGCGATCAAAAACTTTACGAGCCTCATCTATATGGCCGGCTTTCACATAGCCGTTAATCATTGAAGATTCAGCAACAAGACTACTTGTGGGCATCGTCTGGAAGAGCTTCTCTGCATTGGGAAAATCGTGGTTCTTCAAGTAAACATTAATCATGGAAGCATAAGAGACAGCGTCCCGTTCAGGCATTTGGTCGAACAGATTCCTTGCTTCTTTGACTTTGCCATAGCCGCCGAGATTTGTTATCTCAACGTTACAGCTGTATACATTAAATGCTTTCGATAGGACTGGAATCGGATTTGGCCTGCGGAGACAGCCTTGAAGCAATTCCAAATTCGGTTGTGCCAGAGAAGAAGCATTGAAATGGCCGAGGGTTCGAACTATGGCGGAAAGCTTTGAAAGATGGAGACGGCAAACGGAGGATGGCATGATCATGGCTACTAAGTCTAATACTGACAGTATATGCCATAGTAATATTGTTAATCGTTCAACGAAAATATGGTTGGCTTGCTGTTAGCATAATAAGCTTCAAAGAAGATAACAAGTTCAGTGATGATAAAAATCCCAAGAGAGGGAGATGAACTCTTACTTTTTTAAAAATAAAATAAAAACTCTGAAGTAAGAAAGAAATAGGATAATAACAATATAAAACTCCCAAAAACTATAGGGTCCATTTTAAGTTGAGGAAAAATATGTTTCAAATAAAAATACTTGGACCAAAAGCGCTTATGAGAAGAAACATTCCCAAATCATCCTCAAATCAAGGGGAAAAAAAATCAGGAATTAATCATATTTGTAGTAGTCAGTCAGTACTCAGTAGAGTTGCACAATAATTATTGATTAACATGTTCCACAAAGATTATTCACAAACAAGACGGCAGCAAGGAAAACGGGAAGAGAGAGAAGCTTCAACCCAAGACTAAAGTCTATATGATGAAGTAAACGAGAGGAACAACATGAGCATGACCCTAGCTACTAGTAGTAGCTATCATTGTATCTAAACTAAGCAAGCAAGTCTCAAGTAAAGAGTTTAGAGACAGCAACGCAGATTTCACAAAGACGCTTCAAATCAAGATTCATGGTGGTCAAAGGAGGATAAGTTGTCTTGACAACAACTTGGCAGTCATCCGCAGCAAGAGAAGCAGCACCTGCCCAATCAACGAGGTCAGAGAAAGTTTCCGAGTTGAGGTCGTTGTAGGCAGATGAGAGAGCAGAAACGGCCTTGTTGTAATCATGATAACATCGTCGGAGGACTTGCTGGGTAGGGCCTGTGTTTGCCTTTGCCTTTGCCTTTGCCTTTGCCTTTGTGTGGTTGAGCAGCTTGGCTATATGGTCTTGGGTGCTGGAGGCATTGAGGAATGATAAGCGAAACGAGATGTAGGCAAGCACATAGCGATCAGCACTGGGCGTGCGTGGGTCCGTGTAAAGAGACTCCACACACAAGGAGTAACTGGAAGTTGAGTGACAGACCTCGTCCACAAGCTTAGTTGGCTGAATGCTACTAGTAGCACAGAAGATGAACAACGCCAAGCACACACACACAGTACGATATTTGAATGCCATTTCTCTTAATTATCACCTCCCTTCTTCTTCCAGGTTGGCTTGGCTTGGCTTGGCTTGACTTGGAGAGAAGATGATGATGAATGAAGGGAGAGGGTGTGAGGAAAGGAAACCCTGTGAACCCGTGAACCAGTACGTATAGTTGTCATCGCCAAGGATGCAAAAAGACAAAGAGATTAACATCAGCAGTACCAGTAACGATGCATTTTCCAAATTAATGAAATTTCTTTCTTGTTTCGGTTACACAAATGCATCACATTTCAGTGAATAATTAATGGTCGTTCCGAAGCATTTCCAAATTTATGAATTTTCTTTATTTTTCGGTTACACGGAATTCTGCTGCATAGAGAAGAATCCAGGAGTCCTCTTATTAATGTTCAGGATCCATCTTTTCATTCTCCATCTGTACACTACCACTAGTTTCTCCCAAGTACTTTCTAGTAGTCCGAATAATGAGCTAACGAGTTGAAGAAAACGTCACTTATACCGGGATACCACTGTGGCGCTATTTAGAGTCATTGCCATGTGTTTCAACTTTCCGATATGGTAATGCAATTTTCTGAAATAGCAATGAGTTAGCTTGGAATACCGTCACAGTGGCATCCCGTTACATATAAGTTCTTCTCAACGAGTTGAGATTAAGATAAGTCAAGAATTTGACTCCCCCTCTCTCTCTCTCTCTCTCTCTCTCTCTCCCCAAATAATGAGCTAAAAATAATAATAAAAGTGTTTTACCACTCTCAACGTTAAAAGGCCCACACATGTTCTAATTCGCATGTTAGTGTTTTACCACTCATACTCCCTATGTTAGTGTTATAATTCTCTTTTTCTTTTTCATTTTTAAAATAAAAATAATTTTTGTTCAATACATTGTCATTCTCAGTGTGAAAATACTTTAGCCCTTTCTATTATTGCGTTTTAATAATTATTTATTTACATGCATGCGTCCGACTGATTTGCAGCTAGTAAGAATGGTCAGGACTTTAGTTTTTATTTTTTTGTTTTGGGGGTCATCAAACTTGTTGGATGTGAAGTTAGAATTAGTTGTACAAGTAGGACATTGATTGTTTGTTAAAAAATTGATGATTTTATTTATATATAAAAAAAACTACAAATGACAAAATTATCCTCAATGAATATACAGATCATTTACCAACAGATCAACGTCACTGGATCCAGGATGGCCAACCATCCCTTCACCACGTGACCACAATGTCTTTATGCTCCTTTATAAGTTAAAAAATAAATACATATAAAAAAATTATGCCTTTATGCAACTCCTGCGGTTCAAATTTCACATTAATGCATGAGTTCCAATTACGAAACAGACAGCTGTCAATGGGCCAAACAGCATTTATACATACTCGATGTCGTTGCACCATCCATCCCCCATCTCCGCAATTAATAAGGATAGCTACTCCATCCAACCAGCTCATTAAGCTTAATAATAGTATTTTGATTTGCCTAATCTAAAATCAATCTTCCTCCGACTGTTGATAGAGAAGCTACCATATCTTACAATCACAGAAGTGGTTCAAAATGATACTAGATGCCATGACTATCTATGCACAACCGCAACCACGACGAAAAACACAAACTATACGGTGAAAAAATTTAGCTTCCAATAATTTACAAGTACATGTGAGTTCTGCAGATATGTAACCATAACTTACGACTCCAACATGAAATGCCTAGTTAGGAAAAATGAAACGAAAAAAACAATATTCAAAATGTGTACAGAAAGAATAAAGCTTTGAAGCTGATACTTAAGGACAAAAAGTGCCTACAAAGAGAGGGAGAGTGAGAGAGAGAGGCAAACCTGTCACATTTTACAGCTTAGAAGGTGTTGCACAGAACACTTCAAACATACCATAAGTGCCATTCTATGGATTGATATTGCACTCTCGCATATACATATGATCATAATCAACATATTGTACCCAGTAATTTCGGTATTTGGGTATGCCTATCTCAAGCCACGGTTTCATGTTGCCATTATAGTGTATAACAGCTGCACGATCAATTTCCTTCTGGTTAACACTAGGGTTATAACCAAGGCCCAGCACATGCCAGGCTCGATCGAGTGGGTATGTGCGTTTCCAAAATGTTATGAGCCCAGGTGGTAGGGTTCCCAACTTCCACAATTGTCTATCATGATTCTGTGCAAAAAAGAAAACTTCGTTCAGAACTGTAAACAACATCAAACAAGCCAGTAAAGTCTAGCTTTCATAGCAGAGAAGGCTGAGAAGCAACAAGCAAGAATCTTAGAGCTGTGAAAATATTGGTCTAAAGAAAGCCTATATCCAATCTCCAAAGCACCAAATCTCTAAATAAATAAAGATGTTAACCTAAGAGTTTAAGAGACAATCCTTGATTGATGGCTATGGTGCTCGCAGAGTCAGATAGTTTCCGATCAAGATTTTAAAAAAAATTTATTTCAAGTGAACAGTTAAGTGTGAGTGATATTCAAATAGTCAAATTAATCATTTTAAATTTCCATGAAAAAAAAATCTGAAACCATTTTCCTTACCAGCTCCTGCCATCTGTGGTAAACCTCTGTGATGTTTTGCTTCTTCCATTCCTCCAAATCAAAGATATTCATTCCATATGCCCATCCACAAGCACGAGCATCAAAATTCTTTGAGATAAGAGGATTTGAAAAGTTAAGATACCGATCAAAGCGATGGAAGCTTTCTCCACAAGTCTCCACAGCCCCATTAACATTTCCCTTCAAGTCAAGGGCCCAGAGCCCAGTAAGATCCTTCTGCACAACTACATCATCATCCAGGAACAGAACTTTGTTGAGCTTTGGAAAGACCTCTGGAAGGTAAAAGCGGAGATGGTTCAGGATAGACAAGTACTTTGGGTTTCGAAACTTCAAATTTGAATCAGAATTGGCCCGATGAGTCCTAAAGTAATAATTTATCATGGACGCAGAACCCAACTGCTTCAGAACCGGACTGTAACTTGAATTCAACCATGTAAATTCTTCAATGTTTTGAACCTGAATAGTGGCCTTGCCCGGTGGATTTACTAAAAACCACATTCTCATTGCAGCATAATTGAGCCTATCAGTGACAATATGGAAAACATGATTTGCAGGGTCCTGTAGAGGTTCCAAGCAGCGTAGTCAGTTAGAGATCTCAACCAAAATTGAAAGGTCCTAGACATGAATTATAGATTCTTGATTAGTACTCCAAGGTTTTTTTTTTCAACCTTCATGGTTCTTTATATTCGTTTTACTTGGGAGTTGGAACTGGGACAACAGAAAAGGAAGAAGAAGAAGAAAACACAAGGATCACAATATGCGGATACCTTAGCATGAGTGACAGTTGAGTTTACAACAACCGCTGCAGCCAATACATTGTCTGAGAATAGCGCATAATGGTACAGCAGGGGATCTTCTAGTTTCTCTTGATTGGGAAAGATCTGTTGAGAAGAATTTAAGGTATAGTATTCAGTGGTAAGGCGCAATGGAAGACAGTGAAGTCCCTTGGGAAGTGTTTTTGCCGTCAATTGTGTCAAGAACATAGTCTGCTTCCTGTGCACCCGGAGTTGCTCTTCCATTGAATGAAGCATAGCTCGAAGCTTTTTCACCATAGCTGCGCAGTCGTCTTGAATCTGCTTACCTTTAGTCAACGTCTGTTCCATTGCCTTCAACCTATCGTAGGCGCTGTATTAAGATAAACAATTATTACAAACAAAATAAAGAAAACGAAATTTTTGGTAGAATTAGAAATATAGTGAAAGATTGACAGTAACTTTGTTTGTTTTTTTTTAGGACCTTTCCTATTGAGAGGGGCGATAGTATACTAAACTCACACACGCTACACGGATGCTAGGACCCGAACCCAGGACCTGGTATGAGGGAGTAAATACTCCAAACCACTACACTAACCAATAAGGATACCAACATACATATTCATAAACAAAAAGGAGAGACAAACTTGAGTAAGGTAGCAAAGTTAATTTCGTTTAAGAGAAAACATACTTCCTTGGCAGGTCAGAATCCTTGGTTGCCTCCCAAAGTGCTTTTTGAATTTCCTTTATTCGCAGTCGAAGCTCCCTTGTGAAATGGGGGTTGTTTCTTGTGGCTGGAAGAGATAGGTAGACCTTTGCCCTGATGAGCTGGTCTTTAAGATGTCGTACCCGAACATCTGGAACAGCTGTTTCATCATTCTGTTTTTCAGTCATAGTTTTCTTGGGTTTTCTTTGATCAACCCTGCTGGATGTTTGAGTGGATTGTCGCTCATTCTTTATTTCCTAGAAGTAGAAGCAGTGCCATAAAAGAAGAGAGAAATAAGAAATATGAATCGACATTTTCTCAAATTTCAATAAGGAAGAAACGTCGCAAGCAATTTAGTGCAAGAAATGGATTCAATTTAGTGCGGAAAACATGTGCATTTGGCAATTAGAAGTTGGCAAAAGTGCAACCATTTCCAAACACTTAGGAGGACCATTGGTATAAAGGCAAAGCGGAACAATTGGTACCGTAGTCTGAGAGGCATTATCAATATTTTGCTCAGAAGCACCACCTCCTTTGGCATGTAAGTCAGACATAAACTGGTTTCCTTGCTCAAGTGTTTGAGTGACCTGTCTGATGGGATTATCTGTTTGAGACAAATTTTGGTCGTTGGTGGTAGATAACACTCTAGCGGATACATGCTCCATGGAGTCCACTGAAGGCCCATCTAAGAAATAAGATGGGGAAGCAATTTAGAATACACCAAGATTAATTATAAGGGAAAAAATCACAGAAATGATAAATAAATAAAAAAAGATGCATTGCAGGTAGGAAAGTTAAAAGAGTAAAATGATAACCTTTATGAGTGTGATTGGGGTGGGCGGAGCTCCCCCTTGTCTCTGGATATGAATTAGTGGAGTTGTCGGAATATACCACTCCGACAGGCTCTTTAAGGGTTGTGGATGATTCCTACGATGAGGAAAAATAAATAAATAATTTAATGGATGAAAGTTGAGTCCTTCAAACATGGAAAATTTCCTTCTCTAGCTTTTTATTTATTTATTTATTATTTGGTTCTGAAACTACAAAAAGGAACAAGGAAGAGTAATTAAAAATAGGGACCTGGGGAAGCAGATTTAGACGGCCTGTATGAGCATTAGCAGCCTGTGTAGAAATTTCAAGGTTAATTTTAAATTCATCCAGCAATAACTAGAGATCGGAAAACAAACGCAAAACAACTTACAACGGCTGTAACATCTTCAACAAAATCGTCTCCAGCTGCAGAGGAGGCATTGGGATTTAGGGATTAGGGATTAGGCATTGGGATTTGAACAGGGAAAAATAAATAGTCCAATCCAATAGTATAATTTATAATGAGAAGAACAACTTACAGGAGGAAGAGGAGACCTGGAAGGACCCAAGACGATCAGTGTAAAGTATAATGGGAGCAATCACCGTTACAAACAACATCACCATCACCACATTCCTCACCATCATCTTTCCTAAAATTAAAATTTAAAAATAATAATAAAAAATTAAACAAGGCAGCCCCAGCACACAGAGGCAGAGGCCAATCCTCTCTCTTTTCGCCTTTTGGGGCAAACAGCCGCCGCACCTCCCTCCTAATCACAGGTTTCTCCGGTGGATTGACTATTATCCGTCCTCCCTTCCTCCATCCTAAAATTAAAAACCTTGTTTTTCAGCCGTAGGATCTCTCTGTCACTGACATTTCATAAACTGCTACAAGCAAAGCAAAGCAAAGGATAAATTACTAGCTTTACTTACAGAGACAATGGGGCGAGGGCAGACAGAGAGAAAATAGACAAACAAAGTCGGCGCCTGTTGATAATTTCTGAATACAATATAAATGGAATGAATGAGTGATAGACAAAGCCTACTACTCATACCTGCTAATAATACCACGATAAATATTCCAGTTTGACACTAGCACTTTTTTGCAAAACTCTACTTTATAACTTTTTAAGTTTTTTGTATATGTGTGTGGTGTACATTGCTATGCACTCACAGGTTTTATCTATATGAGCTGTTTAATCGGGCATTAAGTTATACACATGTCAAAATTACAAAAATTTTAAGGTTTTGGTGGTTTATATAAATACATATGATTTCGCATTGTAGTCACATTTTTAAATATTATGGCATTTTAATTTAATTTAATATAATAAATTTTTTATTTAATATTTATTAATACCTTTTAATTGATGTGACTGTATATTTTATTTGTCAGATAAAATGATATAAGAATATGATATTAGCATTACTCATTAGTTTTTGAAATGCCATAATATTTTTAGTATCTAAAGAAAATAGAGAAGTGAGCGTTTCACCTAAAAAATAAAAATAAAGAATTTTCACGGGCAGGCCGCGTCAACTACACGTGAGGGACCACCACATGAGTCAGCATCAAGACACGCGTGATTGACGGCTGTTTATTTGCGTTTTAACTGAAATCTGAAAAGTGAAAATGAACTGGAACACAACACACATGATCATGAGCACTGGACTGGAAAGAGAGCAAAGTAATTTAAGTAAACTAAACGCGATCACAAATGCACATTGCACAAAAGTCTCTCTCTCTCTCTTAACTTATAATTTTTTAAGTTGTATTTATTTATGAATATTCTCCACTTTTCAACTTATAATTTTTTAAGTTGTATTATTTATGAATATTCTCCACTTTTCAATTAGCCTTCTTTTGGCGTGTTCTTCTCCTTTTTATTTTGATCTTTTCGGGCTTACGTGCTTGCGTGATTTTTTCTCTGTAATCTCTCCTTTTTGCATTTGAAAAAAAATAAAGAAAAAAATAATCAAATCACTCTGTAATTTGAAATGTATGGTTTCATTATCTATGAAATTTTTAATGGATACCGTAAGAAGGCCCCCCAGGGACACATCAAGCATGAGATGAGTGCTGACCAACATAACATAACATTCATGGATCATGGAATGGAGCTCTTCTTGGAGCACCAAAGAGTGTCGGCAGCACAAGCACAACAATATTAGTAGCTGCCCGCCAGCCTCGCTTCCTTTCGCTGGGCCATTCCCATTTCGTAGCCACTTGATTTTCATTCCTTAAATTTCACACTTATTTTTTCTATAAATTTTTAATTAGTTTAACTAATCTCACCCGCCTCGTATAATCTCATTCTTAAAACGTGCACACTTGTGTTTCATGCTATAATTAACAAGCACATTTCTGTTATAATTAACTTCTGAAGAGGTATTTTAACGAGTCGAGGTATTTTATAATTAATTTTTGGACGGAAGGCTGGCTCTTAACTCGCGAATGGGACAATGACAAGTTTTTATGGTTCTAATTCTAAGAAAGAATTTGGAAGGGAACATGCACTAGAGACTTACAGAGAAAAATAAAATTGTCCTTACCCCTTGCAAATTTAAGAAACTGTGCATAGAGAGAGAGTTGTTGTGGAAATTCATAGGCAGTGCAGAGTTGTTACTTAGAAATAATGAAGGAATCACTTGGTTGGTAAATTGATGATGCTAATGATTGTAATTGTAGAGTATAAAAGAAGAGTGCCACTGCCTCACTGCCAGCCAGCCATTGTGATGATTTTCCATTTTGAAGCAAACAACCTAGTTGAAAAACTTTTGAGTCCTTTGATTGATTAATTTCCAATTGGTTTTAATAACAAACAGAATAGTAAGAGACCCAATATGAATTAATTGGACAATAATAAATTACAAAAGTGTAACACAAATGGCGGAGGAGCGTAAACAAGAAAAAGCAAAAAAGAGATGGAGGGAGAGAGACGGGTGGCTGGCTGGCTACCTTTACACAATATTGGTAAAGGTAAGTAGTCCCATCTGGGTCTGCCTCTGCCTCTGGCTACACATCCACCCCCCTTGTTGCACTTGCATTGCATTTACATGCCCAAGTTTATCTTCTGTTTATGTGACATAACGCGCAGTTAATAATAATAATAATAATGTAAACTTAATTAGTTGGGCTGTTGATGAAGGGGCTGATTGAGCAGGAAGGTCCAAATGCAATCCGCACCCTCATTCTCCAAGCCATCATCATCTTGATTAAGATCTCGAGGACTTGGCCCCTCAAGCTTGTCCTTAGCTGGAGGAAAGTCTAGGAGTAGTTCCTGATTATCGGATTCATCATGAGTCTGATAGAAACACCGCCCTGCCGCGGAGAAAGAAAATTGATCATCAATACTTATACCATGACCAGGATTACTACTAGTAGTAAAGGTGGGTGTGTCATCCAGTGCCAGTACTGGTGATGAGAAGACGTCCTCAAAATTAATCCACTCCTCCGATTGGGAGATTATACCATCTTTCAGCCACGGAAAATCAAATACTCCTAATGCGCAGTGGGATTCTGATGATGTCTTACAACAGCTACTGGTACTGCTGCTGCTGTCCTTGTATTCGAGGACGTCATTTTTCAAGTCCAAAATACCATAATTAATGGGACCATCTTTTGTCTTTGCATGCTTCTCTCTCTCTGAAGAAGAAGAAGAAGAAGAAGAAGAAGGAGAAGAAGGGGAAGAATTATTGTGGCCTTCGTCTCCTTCTCTTACTCTCTTCTTGCTGTCACGCTCCATTTATTTAATGAAAGCCTTAATAAGTTCCTGCTCATGAAAAATATATAGGAAAGCTCATTATGTAATGTATAGAAATAATAATATAGAGGAACAAAATTATACAAACTCTGGGAGCGAGAGCTCTACTCATCATAATAATATAGGTTTAACTATAGATTACATGTATACATATATATATATATATATTATATGAAAAAACTACTCATACTAATAATAAAATACACAGCTTAAACTTGATTCATAATCAGCAAGGACATGCTAAAATCAGATGGGTGAATTCCTAGCTAGATGCTTCAAAAGTTGGCAATGGTATCGTATGCCTAATGAAATTAATTGCAAAATAAATTAAATGAATGCATATGCATCTGAATGCGCACACAAGAACCCTTGTGACCTTGAGATTCAAAGATAGAATTATAGAAATGGTACAAGAAAGAGCGAGTCTGATCTGATGGAAATGGTGGAACTTTGAATATCAATTTTATATCAAACTTTGCATTCATTACGTACCTGTAACCTGTATTGGGCTTTGGCAGAGGCAGTTCGTATATCTGGAGCTGTCGAATGTATGAAACGTCTGCTGAAGAATGATGATTACAAAAGAGTTTTGCTCACACGCTACGCGATTTTAAGCTAAACCGTCTCTAACCACACACAGACACACTCCTTCATCACGCTTTTTACCCGCCCATCTCTCTCTCTCTCCATCAAGAATGAAATGAAACAGATGGGTTGGGTTAGTTCCTCTTTTTGCGTTCCTTTCCTTTCTCTCTCGCCTCTCTATTTTTTCAGTTTCCAACTTCCAAATACCACAGGCAAAGGCATCCACCCCCACATCCTTTTCTCCCTTGCTTTTTCTTCCTCCGTTTTGTCTCCACTAGTTTTGCCACGTCATAAACACCCCAAGCAAGCAATGTAAGTTTAGTTCATACCATTTCACTTTTCGGCTTTCAATCCATTTATTCCAACAAAAAGAAAACACCTTCATTCATTCTATCGTATTGTTCAACATTGCTACACATTAGTGACAGAGCAGAGAACTATCACAATCTTTTCTTGTTTCTGTCACTCGGGCATTGCTCGCCTCCAATACAGTAGACTTTTCAATGCTCCGGTTGAGACGAATTCAAATATCTAAGAAAAGAAATTTTTTACAATGTAGGATATGACCGACTTTATCTACATTGCCACTCTGATGTGATCTCTAACTGAAATTTCCAGAAATTTGAACAATTATCACATTGGAAGCTTGAAATTTTTGCTCTCGTCCAATGAGAAAAGAGCGAATATATCCTCAATCGTATTCAACAAATGTTAGTCTGCCCTCAATTGTATTCAATAGAAGAAATTCTGCATATCATGACTGTGCCAAAGGATATAATTTGATCCTTTTCTGATAAATTTAATAATTTCATCATCTTTTGGAGGGCTCTTCATAGGTTTTCGCCTCTGACTGCTTACCGTATGTGGAAACCTCACAGGTCAGGCAGTAATCCATGATCTTCTTCACTAAATAAAAACTTCCATCGAAGCTTTCATCTGTCCTTATGACATTCTCGATGTTCATAATTCACAGCACTTAGACACACATTTTTCCTCTGCTGCGCATAGCTCACAGATACAGTTGGGCAAATAATGTGAAGTTGCTTCCAGAATGGGAGGCTCAAGTTCCTCTTCTCAATTTAAAGAGGAAGACTGTCGCATCACAGATCACAAGGACCCAAACACGAACAGTCAGGTAAAAGATTAGTTTTGTATGCAATGCAACTAGCCACATGCAATTAGCACTACCAATAGTCCCTACAAGAACAAGAGCCATCGCGGAAATGATGGAACCGGTTTGTATCTCTCACAATGATTTCTCTCCCTTCCACCTTTGAGACGTACTTGATTGCCGAATGACAATCACCACAAACCCTGATGTTCTTCTTGATCCGAATGGTGGATCCTGGAGTAGTGTTAAGAAGCGCAAATGCTAGAGCAAGCTTCTCACTATGGTACTGCAACTTGACTTCCCTCTCCTGCTGGTCCACAAAGAAAAGAACATGGCTAGTGTCTGGGACGTATCCAATCTCCTTAATCTTCCCACTAATCGTCTCCCACATCTGAAGGATCTCTACTCTTTGAGGGTGAGCATCATCATTTGCCACAAACATGTGGACTGCATTCTCAATCTCCACCCAACTACAAGCAGGTTCTTTTTTCACCCCACAATCTTTCATCAACTTTCTCACTCTTGCAGCGTCACTCAATCTGCCAGCAGAGGCATAGATATTAGAAAGTAAGACATGGGGGCCTGAATCATGGGGATCAAGCTCAAAAACACGTTCAGCAGCATAAGCGCCCAAGTCTATATTCTTGTGCATCCTACAAGCACCTAACAAGGCTCCCCAAACAGCTGCAGTGGGTTCAATCGGCATTTCTCTTATGAACTTCTCAGCTCGATCAAGAAGACCTGCACGGCCAAGAAGATCAACAATTGTCACATAGTGTGAAATCTGCAGTTCTATGTTGTAACTTTTCATCAAGTCAAAATAATATTGTCCCTCATTTAAGAGACCAGCATGGCTGCAGGCAGTAAGAACACAAAGAAAGGTTATATCATTAGGTTGGATTCCAATTCTCAGCATTTCTTCAAACCGCTGTACAGTTTCCTGTCCAAGCCCATGCTGGGCGTATCCAGTAAGCATAGAATTCCAAGAAACAATGTCTTGTCTAACCAACCTGTCAAAAACCTTTCTTGCATCCTCAATGCTGCCTGATTTGGCATACATGTCAAGAAGAGTATTCCCGACAAAAGCAACAAGCTTAGCACCCGATTTTATCATGTGGGCGTGAACCCACTTGCCTTGCTCCATAGACCCTGCACTGGCACAGGCAGTAAAGACGCTAGAATAAGTGAAATGTGTGGGTTTAAATCCTTCCCTGAGCATCTTCCCGAGCAACCTGAGAGCATGCTCTCCTTGAGCCTTCCTGGCATGGCCAGCAATCAAAGCATTCCAAGACACCTCATTCTTGGTCTCCAGGGAGTCAAAGATCAACTGGGATTCATCCATATGGCCCCACCTAGCATACATGTCCACAAGAGAAGTGCCCACATAAACATTGGTATCAAAACCGTACTTAAGGCAATAAGCATGAAGCTGCCTGCCGTGCTTGTTGTTATCATCAGACACAGCACCAGCAGCCTTGAACAAGCTAGACAAGGTGAACTGATTGGGTTCCAGGCCACGGAGGAGCATTTGAGGGAACAAAACAAGTGCATCCTGAGGTCGATCATATTGAGAATAGCCAGAAATCAAGGCAGTCCAAGTGACCAAGTCCTTGCAAGGCATTTGATCAAACAGGTTACGAGCGTCTTCCAAACTACCGCATTTGACATACATGTTAAGGATGGTGTTGTGGATGGGAAGGTCATCTTTAAAGTGGGAAGTAAGGATGTGAGCGTGCACAATTCTTGCTTGTTGAAGTCTGCCCATCTGGGTACATCTGTTTAGCAACTTATTGTACAGAGTCCGGTCCGCTTCCAAAGAACCGCGATTAACCAAGTCCAGAACATGAAGCCCTGTTCCCGAATTGTGGAGGCTCTTGCGAAGAAGGTCCTTATCTTGGATGATATGGGAAGCGTACCAGTCTTCGCCTTCTGAAATTTCTTCCGAGTCCGTGCAGGAAGCCCGAGTTGCAGACGTCCTCAACTGTGCCGCCGATAATGAAAGTTTCTGAATGCCAACAGCAGCAGCATTCTTGTACAAGTACAAGGCCTTGGATTTGGATTTAGATATATGTCTTGACATATCAGATTACAAGATCTGAACAAAGCTAGCTCCTCAAATAATATTCAATCACTAAACTGGCCGAATAGGCGTATGTATGTTCATAGCGTACACCGATTAGTTTCTGTTAGACTTTTTTTTTTATGGTTCGAAATCTGACATCATTAAAAGCCAAATTGGGATGGGGATTATTGATTCAACTTTTTTCCTTGCATTTCCTATCATTTCTGAATTAATGTTATTGATTTTTCCGAACCCTAGAAGATCTTGAGAGCATTATTGGAGCACATCCGAAGCATATGTGTGGATGTAATATATAAGTGACGAACCTAAATGGTATATTTAAATCATACTGTTATTATTGTATTCCAACATAATGGTGTTTTTGTTAGGACCACGCATGTGGACGTAATGTATGTGTGACCAACATAAATGGAATCATTTTATTTTGAGGAAGCACAAATGATTTTTCGTATTTTGTGGTTTCAATAATGAATTTTCTCATTTTAGGGTTTCGCTAATGAATTTCGCATTTTAGGGTTTCACCAATGAATTTTGCATTTAGGAATTTCGTCAATGAATTTTTCGCATTTTGGGGCTTCACATAAATTAACGCATTTTTAAGTTTCCCTAATGAGTTTTTGAATTTTGGGGTTTCGTCAATAAATTTTCACATTTTGGGGTTTTGTGAATGAATTTTCACATTTTGAGGTTTCGTCAATGAATTTTCATATTTTGGGTTGTTACAAATTAATTTTCCTATTTTGGGGTTTCGCTAATGAAATTTCACGTCACGTGATTTCAAGATTATGAATTTTTCACATTTTAGGATTTTGCTATTGAATTGTTGCATTTTGGGGTTTCGTCAATGAATATTCATATTTTGAGATTTCGTCATGAATTGTTGCATTTTGGAGTTTCACAAATGAATTTTCACATTTTAAGGTTTCGTGATTAAATTTTCACGTTTTAGGGTTTCATGAATGAATTTTCGCATTATGGGACTTCACATGAATTTTAGCATTTTGTGGTTTCAAGAATGAATTTTCGCATTTTCTGGTTTCGTGAATGAATTTTCGCATTTTAGGATTTCGCTAATGAATTGTTGCATTTTGAGGTTTCATCAATGAATTTTCACATTTTGAGGTTTCATTAACGAGTTTTTCTCATTTTGGGGCATTACAAAGGAATTTTCGCATTTCATGGTGTCAAGAACGATTTTTTGCATTTTGTGATTCCAAGAATGAATTTTCGCATTTTGGGGTTTCGTCAATGAATTTTCGCATTTTGGGGTTTCGTCAATGAGTTTTGCATTTTAAGGTTTCACTAGGCCAAAATGTGAAAATTCATTCTCGAAACCACGAAATGTGAAAATTCATTAGCGAAACCCTCGAAGGCACAAATTCTTTAACGAAACCCTAAAACCCAAAAATTCATTCACGAAATCCTAAAATGCGAAAATGCATTGACGAAACTCCAAAATGCCAAAATTCATTCTTGAAACCACGAAATGCAATTCATTAGAAAAACCCTAAAATGCAAAAATTCATTTGCAAAACTCCAAAATGCCAAAATTCATTAACTAAACCCCAAAATGAGAGAATGATTTTAAACAACCAGAAATGTTTTTATAGTTGATACCACATTTTCATTTTTCAAATGTTTTCTGGGATTCGTGTAGCCTAATCCTTCGGTCGATATGTTGGAAAAACATAAAAATAAAAGGGGACATTCGTGGAAAGACCATTTCCAATTCAAGACAAGAGAACGGAAAAGGAAAAAATATATATCATAAATTCATAATTCAAGGCCACCAATTGTAGTGTGGCTACTGACTGCAGGACTCGTTATTTGTTATTTTGAACAACACCAATAAAGCATAGAATAATGAGTCTCTCTCTATTCACAATCTGCAGTTTCATTCAACAGAGTTAACTTCAAATGACTTTAATTTACAATCAAATTAGAACATCAAGAAGAATTATACAGATATTTCAATTTTAAGACGTTTTTTTTATAAAGAAAAGGTTTCATAATCTTCATATTTAACCACCAAAAAAGTTATAGAAAAAAAAAATCAAGAACGTAAAATACACCAGATAAGTTGCATTCATGTGAAAAATGAAATCAAACTTCAACTGCAACAGCCTCCAGCTTGAGAGGAAGAGCCATCTCTGCCTCCTGATGGCCCCGGAATTCCACCATATCCAACTTTTATGCCATAAGACTGAAACAAGACCAAGATTTGAGAATAAAGCCCATACGGCTCTCATTCATTCAATACTACAAATTGTTTACTTTGTCTCTGAATATTCGCCGGAAGGAATTTCTTGTTCATTTTGACTTTATTGTGATATTGCCTATTTATTGCAGGTCCAATAAGTAGTGGTTTAATGTACGGGTAACTATACAAAGAGAATGACATGATAGGTATAAGGTAATAATTAGTGATGGTGGAACAATTTCAAATCTTTTCAGAGAGCCAATACTTCGAAACATGAGCCCAACCCCGTCTCATCTCTATATTATTATAAAGATTTCAACAGAATACTCTATATATTTCAAGAGTGAGCTTACCCATTACATTTGCTGACTGCTCTAAATTCTAAGCAAGGATAATTAGCAATCATATGAGAAATTTACTCTGCAATCAATCAGAACAAGATGCATTCACATAATGGCTCCATGGACCACACAATCGATCATTACCCTAGACATTCACAAAATGCTCCATTCAAGCAGATTTTGAGATTTTTTTTACATGTTTTACTAAAATGCCGACTAAAAGGTTAGGAGGACATGTAAGGAAGAATACAAAAAGAAAGAAAGCTAACCTCATTTGATACATCAAAAACTCCATCTTGAATCTTCTTGTATATGGTTGCAGCAGTTTTTATAAATGCCTGAACGAAAAATGACTAGTATTAATAAAGGCAAAATCAAACATCACAAAGGGATTGGGTTTTCTTAACAAAACAGTGTCCATCAAAAAGGCAATCTATTGTCACCTCCTCAACATTCTGCGCAGTTTTAGCAGAGGCCTCCATAAAGATCAGCCCATGCTCCTTTGCAAACTGTTCCCCTTCCTCTGTACTCACAGCCCGTCTGTGAGCAAGATCACACTTATTACCAATTAACATTATTGTCATGTTTGCATTTGCATGTTGCCTCGCGTCCTCTAACCAGCTAGCCAAGTGATTAAAAGTTTCCCTCCTACGAGTAAAAACAATGAACTATTGTCATCAACAGTGCCTTGACATGCCGCATAAATATAATAAATATCTATGTTAAATCAATCAAGCTGTGTAATGCTCTTTAACTAGACTTGTACATCGATGTAGTATATTACTGGGATCTGGCTTGGGTTTGTACTTTTCCATTGCATTAGGCAATACTGCAAAAGCCTTATTATGCCTAACCCCACTGGATTGAGGAATTATGAGATGTGTGAATTGTGATAGAAACACCTACTCCGAATGCAATTGAGTAGTACCAAAATATACACTCGTAGAACCTTGTAATGGATCAATGCAGAAACAATGACATTTTACTCGAAAAACCACAGGACCATTATTGAATATGACACAATAGTCTCCCTCAGTAATACCTACCAAATGGCGGTAAAAAAAAGTGTAATAGTGTACAACAATAGAGCAACAAACAATCGATGTACTATCTTAAAAAGAAAGAATTATCGTAGTTGATAGATACGTTTGTGTTGTGTCCAAGACAATTGAGAATGAGATCAGAATTGAAACTGTACCTGGTGATGTCATACACAAGCAACGCACCGGCAGCCCCTCTGTAGTAGGACCGTGTAATGGATCTGAAAGACTCTTGGCCCGCCTGATATATTATTATTATTGCATATTTGCAAACAAAATTGTGAATAGAAAAGCTTTAACAAATTCATAGCAATTAAGCATATATTCCATAAAATTAACATTAAACCAGGAGTGAATTTACAAACCGTGTCCCAAATTTGGAGCTTGATTGGTTTGTTGTCGATGGTGATCATCCTGGCTCCGAACTCAACACCAATGGTTAAATCGTGCACTGGCTGGAACCTCTTGTCGGTAAACTGAAGAAGAAGACATGATTTTCCAACTCCTGCACAACACAACACAACACAACAAATCAGTTATTAATTAATTACTCGGAAAAGAAAACAAAAATCCAAAACAGAAATTTAGCAAATCGCAAATCTAAGGAAGGATAAAAAGAAGTTGATCATGTTGTCGATTACGATTACGAAGGAATAATAAATAAATCTAAGCAATTAGAATTACGAAGTACCAGTATCGCCGATGATGATGTACTTGAATAAATACGCGTAAGACATTCTTCCCTCACTTAAGTCTTATCTATAGACAAACACAAATTTGAGTGAGATAGATCCTTCTCTCGGCTGGGCGGACTAGTTTGAATGACGTACGATGCCAAGCAGTCGGTAATTTCAATTGAATTCTGATTCCAATAGAAAATACAACTTGGTTTTGTTCGTGTGTATTTATACAGGAACAGGAGATCGACAAGGGAGAAGAAACCGAAACAAGAGAGGAGAGGAAAGGGAGGTCAGACAGACACAGCAAGACCAAAAGCAAAACAGTTTGCAGCGAAGCAATGCGTCTTCTATACACTTCCGCTCTCCGTCCTCGCTGTCATTTCCTCCTCCACGTACATCACCCACTGACCCACCCCGTTTAGGCTCCAACTCAAAACAACACAAAAAACAATTACCCCGTACGTTGGTCCAAATTGATCCTATTTGGGCCGTCTCTCATTTCACGGCCCATTCGCTTCTTTTAGTACAAATGATAGTTCAAATTAAAAGGAGGATGATTTCTCACACACACACAACTAATGTCATGGGGCTTGAATCTGAGACCTCTGATCTGCAAGTCTAAACCCTTTTTCACTAGGTCTAATCGGTCTTTTCGGTAGGTAGGTTTGGGAGTGTTATTGACAGCATTAAAAGACGTTTGCAAGTAACCAATACTACTATTTATAGTATTTGTTTGGTTAAAATAAACCAACAATGAGTTGGCTAAATTTGGTTTGTTTGTATGTCCTAATTGATCTCTTAATTGAATAAGCCACACTGGTTTACCATAAAAACAAGGAACTAAATCAGAAACAAGTGTTCAACTGGTGTGATTGAGATTGAGATTGAGAGTTAAACCTCATCGAATAAAGTGGAGAGAAGCAATATTATTAGGAGGCCGATGGTTATTGACAATGTATTCATTCTTTGCTTCAAAAGAAAATGAATACATACTAAAATTACAAATGTTGTTAGAGGTGAGGCTTTGCTGTGCTGGAAAGTAAAAAGAAAATAATAATAGGCCTCAAATTCAATCAATAACATAGAATAATGTTCCAACAACTTGTTCTGGGGGGAATTGTTACTGTTAAAAGATTGTCTTCACCTCTGAATTCAAATTCCTCCTCGTCTATGGAGTTGACTGAGCAAGCTTTGGGCTTTAAACTGGAGTATGCTCCAAAACTACGAGCTCCTCCTCTTCCCTTGATGTGTATTTCACAACTAGACTCATCGCCAAAGCAGTCAATTGCTTCAACTGCTCCACCGGAATTGTACATATTCAATAATCCAATAGCTGCAAACTCGATCTCTTGCTTGTAAACCTTAATAGGAGATACAGTAAAGACATCACACTGGAGAAGTTTTAATGTGACCTCAAACGACTTGTCCTTTGGTAAACGAGACAGGCACCCTGAAATTGTATATTGTTTCAACAAAAAAACATATGTAAAAATAAGGCATTCAATTAACTCAACAGCCAAGTCATGACATGAATAATACCTTTGGTGAAGGAATAGACTGCACAATCTCCAGTCCAATGCTTCCCAGAAACCTCTTCGAAATACTCAATATCTGCAGGGGACACCTGCCCAGATAGCTCAGCAGCACTAGCTTTTACCTCAACAATGTTTTCCACACAAGGCCACTTCCCCGCTCCCTGGCAGTTGAAAATGCCCACAACTCCATTGCATTTGTTCAAATTCCATATCTTTAGAAGGCTATCAGCAAGCACAAGCAGAGAAGGTTGTAAGAAAAGAAAAAGAATATCATAATCATCTTCAACTTAACCCAACTTAAGTGGGATTGATTGGGAGGTACATATATACCTCTTCCCATCCATAACTGGGTCAACAAATAAACAATCCCGCGATGGCCTCCCGGGGTATCGAGCTCTGAGAATTGACCCATCGGGAAGTACAAGCCTTTTAAGTATCTCGAAATCATGCTGGCCAGGTTTGTCACTGTTGTCAATTGTGGCATGTTCTAAAATTAGTCATAGCTACACCATTCTGAGAAATTATTAATTTAGCATGATGATTCATCAATCTAGTTTAGAAAACGTGCAACTTGTACTCTTAATTTGTAAATTAAGAGAAGCAGAGAAGCAGATAATTTGTAAATTATACATCTACCTGCGGGCAGCAGGTAGGATCTAACATGTACAAAGTAGAGAAGCTGATAAATGTGGATGTGTGTCACTATTCAGTAAATTAGTGAGACATTCACAATGCCATACAAAATAAATAGTTAAAAGATGACATTCTAAGGTAATCACTTAATTCTGGACACGGCTGAGAGACTGAGAGCAGTAAAAGCAAATGATAAAGATACAAGTGAAGTGAAGGACTATCAATTTATTCATATTTTGTTCATGCCTCCATTAACTCATGTAGCTCCACTGTCACTTACCTAACATAGACTCCACAGCCTCCCACAGCTCTAGCAGCAGCATGGAACTCAGCTGCATCATGACGGCTCTGAAAATTGTAATTTAACACTTTAAGTTCTGCATTTAGAAAAACAGCGATAGGCTTAATTTAACAGTAATTATGCCACACCATACATAGAACATGTCCCAATCTGGGACAACAACTTCACCGAGGAATATGCTGTTGAAAGCCACAGCAGCAACGTGTAGTGTCTGTGTTGTTGGGTTTTCTGGGTAGTAATCATCAGATGCTCGAGTAATAGCACTTTTTTTCGAACTGCAATAGACAATTGGGAGGTTACCTTAATATGTGGAAACCTTAAAGTAAAGAGCAAAAAATAGCATGCACGAAATGTTGGTCACAGTTTCACTGTATGAATTGAACATTTAAGTTGCTACGTTTTCAAATAAAATCTGCGGGTGGGGGCATTGTAAAGCATAAATTATATACTGGTAAATGGAGTCTGTGCTTTGGCCCATGCAGCAGATTATGCTGTTGTCTTGGAAGTGGGTGGCTATGGACTTCTCGAGTGCCTGTTGGAACTGTCTAGTTAGAGAGACGCGCCCTCCTAAACCAGTTGATATAGTCTCCAGTATGTTCTGAACATCGACCTTAACCCCATCCACATCCTGTGAAACAAGATAACCGTGCAGATCATCATAAAACTGATACACCTTTGCAGGATCTATTGCACCAACACCATATTTCTCCATGCAATCCATGGCCAAGTCCCTCATATTTGCCAAATTCCCGGGGGACTGTACTGGGTATCTTAGCTTAGGATTATACTTTTTAGTTCCAAGAGCATTTGGAAGAAGCCCTCCCCAGTATCCCAACAGGGCATGCCATACATAGACGTACCTGGGAGTTTGGATAAAGTAAAGCATTAATGGAACATCCTGAAAGGTAAAGATTCCAGAGAAGAGATCTAAGATACTCATGAAGACATCATAGATTTACACTAGTTGTCCGAGAGGTAGGTATATATGTTGGACAACTGCTCACGATTTGATGGTTTTTGGGAAATATGACATGAAACAGTTTTCTTTGAGAATTTCATGCAGCTGTAAAACGGGTTCAGTGGTGACAAAACTTTACAGACAATTAGTGAACATGTCTATGTAAATCTAGAACAATTTCCGGTTCATTTTCACTTCATAGACAGTTTAAATAATAAATAAAATCTTCTACAGAAAGCAGTGAAACTTCAAAGTTTTCTCAAAACTTGCGCTGAACTCCAATTAGTACGAATATATACCCATATAAGCACAGACATAAAACTACAGTTCGTGGTGAATTTTTAAAACTCATCCAATATTGTTGCTGAAGTTTTTCTGTCTGCAGCAGTTTGCTTCAGTTCAGACCACTTAAGGCGAATATCTACATAAGATGACGAGGTAAGGTAATTAAGAAGTGCATAATTGAAACCTTACTTGAGGCCAAAATTCCCCTTGATTTCAGAAACAAATTCCTTCAGACCACTTGGTGTCTCGCTTTCAGCCTCTTTATTGGTTGTTGTACGAAACTTACTATTTTCTTGAATGCTATTTAATCTACCACCAAACCTGCAGTTTGGAGAAAATCAGTATGCCTGAATGCGCGTCTAAATTGACAAGAAAAGATAATGAACATACTGTGATCCTTCAACAAATGGCTCCCCTTCTATTTGGAACTCATTTGATGTATCTTGCCACCCATCGTCAATTATCAAAAACTTAGCTGGAGTACCTCCCTGTGATAAACTGTGTATGTTTGTTTGAATGTGATTAGATTTTAAACAAATGAGTTGTCATCAAAGTAAAAGGAGAAAAAAAAATTAAAGTCAATTTAATTGAGTAAATAGGGGTAATCCAATAAATAATTCGCAAGACCATAACAAGTCTATTGCTCTAATCCGTACGGTACGGACATTGTTTCTATCATTCTCAAGATACCCCTACCATTCAGATATTTGACTCAGAAAGCTATATGATGTTCAGTTGGTGCAGCATCTTCACAATGGCACATCTTCCCATTAAGAGCTATATAATGATAAGATATTCTAGCTCTATGTGGATTTTCATCAAAGTAAATCAAATTCTTTAGAAGCAAGCTTTACAGAGGATCCCGACCAGATATAGCTATATATATCATAGATATAACCCATTCCTCTCAGTGTATTCTTTATATTTTTCTTACCTGTAAAAGAGACGATATGTTTTCTCCTCTCCTGAATATGTTACTAGGAATAATAGGGAATCATCAGTTTATGGTCTCATAACTAAGGAATTTATCATCCTAGTACTAGATTAACCCCTTCTCAATGCAACTGGTTTATGATCACATATTAATGAATATATGATGGGGAACTCTTCTTATTGCAGATCATTTCGAAGGAAACTAAAGCGAAACTAGATTTACCTTTTCAGGCCTTCTCTGATTCCCTGAGGATTAACTCCTTGATAAAAGGCATCCCAGGTACACCAGCCAAACCAATCTAGCATTCCAGGCATCTGCACCAGGAAATCATAACAGGATGCGTTATTGATCATAGTAGTTGACTAAATCTTGAGATATTTAAAATTTTCGCCCTCCAGGTCTAAAACGTTGGCTGACTTGCCTGTTTGGATTCTCTAAGAGAAAAAGTTCCAAAATGCTTCTCCAAAATCCTGAAGATGATCACAAGTTAAAATACTTTAGTTTCAATAAATTAGTGTGAGTGTCTTGGTCTTATATGACTTAACTAAGATTAGGTATGATGCTTGAATATGGAACAGAAATTTGTTTCTATGTACGACAAATGCAATGCTATTTTTCTGTAAGTGCTATGATCATTAAGCTAAAAAATTTACTTGAAACTCAAAATTTTGCTCAGAGGTAACCTACTTCATAGATTCCTTCAACAGATCGAAAGGATGGTTCCCACAGTTCACAAAAACTGCTTTTGGGGATTGTGAGGTAACTATAGCTGGGTCACCTATCAGATTAGATAAGAAGCCCATGTCATTAGACTAGAAAAAGAAGAAAAATGGGTGAGAAGGTCAGAGGGAACAAAGTTTTCTCTCTTTTTTTTCCTCCCTCAAATGGATCAAAATGCTAAGTTACCAAGCTCGAAAACAAATATATATTCTACATTGTCTTTCTAAGAAGAAGAGTACAAGCACTTAACCTAGCTCAGTGAATTGTGTGATAGGAGGATAGAATCATCCAGTAGCATCATTTTATTGTATCTGATAGATCAGCCAAGTGAAAATTATCTAATTCTATGGCCCTGCTCTTCCATAAAACGGAAAATGAACATGACTGCTGCATCAGCAGAGAAGTTGAACCAGGTGGCTAGTATTCTTTAAGAATGCTCTAACCAATTCTAAATTCTAATAGAAAGGAAAGAGAAAGGAAAAAAAAAAGGGAAGATGAATATAAGAAAAATACTTGAACGCAGATTTTCTGAATTATTACCACTTTCAACACAGAACTCAAGCTCATTCGATGAATTCCCCTGCAAGCTGCTTCTAAATTCACCATCTAGAACAGGCAAGAATAAGATATAAGGAGCAGCTTCCTTTAACGCATTAAAATCTGGTCCCTCCTTTGCTTGAACGAGCAACATCTGAGTTTCAACCGGAATGTCACTTCCGGTATTGCCCACTCGTGGTATCATCCACCAAAGCTTAAATCTAAAAAGACTTAATAATCTGACATCACTGCATCACAAAAAAACACATCTGAGTTACCGGCTGAACAGGGCTGGCCCTGAGGAAGGGGCCTACATACCCCACTCATCCTACACAAGAAAAATCCTTGGTTTTTGTAGGTGTTTAAGAACATGGCTTTTTCCAATCTCAAATTCATAATGATAAAGTTCATGAAAATGAAACAGGGTATTCTGAAATCTGAATGAGCAGATGAACAACATATTGAATCAACCATAGCTAGATCAGCTGTGAATTGAAGAAGAAGAAAATGAATCCTGGAACAAGAAGAAATTCCATACCGTATGACTCCAAGCTTAAAAACATGGCGTGAAGTAGCAGTTTCAGAAGTGGCACCCACAAATGCGGATGAGTTGGTCAATGGTGTGACAACCACATTCTCAGGCACTTTTGTCAACAATTCCTTACCATTGACACTGAGAACACCATCCTCAAGGACAGGTTTTGCGCTGACAAACAAAGATTGCCTCCATGTGTTACTAGTGCTGCTGTTAACACCAACAGACCCTCGTCCCCATGAGAAGATCCTGCGGTTGTGGTTGTGGTTGAGCTGAAGGGCTCCGGGAGACGGAGAAAACACGGTGGTCTGAAGCATGGCGGCAACAGAAGGTGAGGAGAGTGTATATATATACTAGTAAGTTAACACATTCTACTTGTAACTGTAAAATTGACCGTTACATATAAAAAGCGGGACATAATGTTGGAGGAAGAGTTGGAGGAGGAGAATATGTGATGTAAGTTGGTTCCCAGATGATTGATTATAAGTAGAGATCGAGATGACGGGATGGGATGGGATCAGCCTCCCTTTGTTTGCAGCATTGAGCGCTTACTGACCACATTTTACATTCGGGTTAGGACTTTCTGTCATTTTCGATCTTTGAAATTGAATGATGGGAATTAACTGTCCTCTCATTTTTTAAGGACGATTCTGTCCTCATTATTACATCACCAAACTTATAGGTATAGAGTATCACAGTTGGTTAATATATACAAGATTTGAACTGTGCTCTCAAGAAGCTCAATTCTACCTTAATTTAATCAGTAATTTATTCCTTAAATTGAAGAAATTTGGATATGTATAATAAACAAATGAATATGAATTCAAGCTAAAAACTCTAGGGGAGTTTGATGAGAGATGGAACCGCATGTGATTTCTTCATCTTTTCCCCCCTCACCTCACCTGAATTGAACCCTCCCCCTGCACTAAAAGCTAGCAAGAACATAAAAAGTGAAAAGTTTTATAGAATTACAAAAATCTAGTCCTTCAGAGCCGATTACGTACTCAATTATGTCTAAACAGCAGCAGCAGCAGCTGAGGAAACTACAATTGGACTCCTTACGTAATGCTTGCCATCCGACCAGATAAGGCCTCCAAATACATAGCCCTTAGTTACACCGAGTCCCTTGGCTTTGAGGGTCACCTTAAAGCTCTTTTCTTCACCAATATTTTTAAACTTCAAGATATTAGGCTCAACTGTAACTGAAACTCCAAGTGGTTTGTGAATACGAACTGCATAGGTACCAGGAGAACCAACATTCTTCACCCTTCTAGTCACAGTGACTGAGCCAGACAATTCAGGGACCGCTATTGAAGGGTAATTGAAGTCCAGAAGACTGGCTGACTTGGGGCATTTGTAATTAGGAGATTCAGAAAAGAGTTGCATCATTGTCTTGTTATAGCCAATGGCACAAAGAAAGTCCAAGTAATCATTGACAGTTAGGTCATAGATCAAGCCAGGATCCATGGCGCGATTTGGTCGTATATGACCCGCACCATAACTGAATGGCGTTGCCTCAATAAATGAAGCATTCTTCATTGGATTTGCAGTGTTGTCCCTCGTTCTTGCTGGCAAAAGATTGGAGAAATGAAGATAATTAATTAGTACATACACACGGATATTTTTATGTTCAGAATATTGGACAACATAATTAAATTCACATGTCTTGGTAAAGACTAAATGGGAGAAAATGCAGAGAAAGGAAAATGAAGTCCAATGATCACCAGTTGTCATGATTGCAGATCTAATTGCAGATGGACTCCAGTCAGGGTAGAGTGTCTTCAGAAGGCCTACAACTCCAGAAACATGAGGGCATGACATGGAGGTACCAGATTCAGTGTTAAACGCAATCCTGCGCTTATCAAAGCTTTCATTGGTAGGGCTGGTTGCTTGGGTATAGGCAGCTATGATATTTACACCAGGAGCAGTGATATCAGGCTGAACAATTCATAAGACAGTGAAAAGAAATTATTAAGGAAAACTGGTGAAATCATGAAATGCTTAATGTTGGTGCATATGTAATATACAAAGTTATGCGTGGGTTAACAGCATTATTAAAATCATATATGTATATATAGCTAGACCTTAAGGATCTCAGGAGTGATAGTGTTGGGTCCTTGAGAGGAGAAGGATGCCATGAATGGAGCAGGTTTTGCGTTCAGCTGTGCTGTTGGGGGCGTTATAAATCCCTGTGGATCACTGTTAAAATATACAAGTTAAATGAGAAAATAGACAAATAAAGCTAGCTAGCTTCAGATGGGGAAGAGAGAATGAGAGTTACATTGTGGAATTAATGTAGGAAACTACAGCAATGCCATCCGTATAATTAATTTGCGAGGCTGGTAGTACGTGAGGATCCGCAATGATTTCATTACCACTGGCCTTATCATTACAAAGAATCATCCCAACTGCTCCGGCAAGAGCTGCTTGTTCACCCTTGTCTGCTCTTGCAGTATCACCCCTAAGACAGGCCAAAATCTTACCCTTCACCTTCTGTGGGTCTAGTGTTCCTCCTATACAAAGCATGCTGCAGTGTACAAATTGTCACTTAATTATGCCACTGACGATAAAAAAATCACTACACTAGCTAGCTATAAGTTCACCAAAATTTGAGCAGAGGATATATATATATATATATATAGCTTTTAAATAGAAGGTTGATTCTTACGCATCATGGGCAGAAGCATTAGATGCTTTAGCTTGTGCACCAGTTATAAGTGGATAAAATCTGTCTTCCGGTAAAGGCTTAGAAAGGCTCGTTCCCCGGAATTAGAAGAAACTAATTAATTAAATTATACCATGAAAAGCTAATCACTTCAGCTAGATCTCTATGTAGAGAGATAAATAAGTGAATGGAAAGAAGACCTTGAGACGCAGCCCATTTCGGAGTTGAACAATAGCTTGAAACTCTCTGTCCAAGGTACTTGCTCCCACGGTTATCATCCAGGGTGCAACATTTGAGACAGTTCCAGCTGCAGGACCAGAATTTCCTGCAGAGCATACCACAACGATACCATGCTTGACAGCATGGAATGCCCCAATGGAAAGGCCATCATCCAAGTAATTGGAAGGGTCCCCACCAAGTGAGACTGAAAGCACATCAACCCCATCATGTATGGCTGCATCAAAGGCTGCCATGATATCAGCATCAAAGCATTCACTGCCGTTGATTGGTGGCCAGCACACTTTATATGCAGCAACTCGGGCTTTGGGGGAACCACCTTTGGCAGTCCCATTCCCCAAGCCGAACACATTGGCTCCAGCTACGAAGTTTCCAGCTGCTGTGGATAGAGTGTGAGAACCATGACCTTCATGGTCTCGCGCACTGTTAAACGAGGACCTCAATGGCGCCCCTGCATACGAAGCATATCCTTTGTTGAAGTACCTTGCACCGATGAGCTTCCTGCATGCATGCAGTTCATGAGATGAATTAATATGATGGGATGATTATTTAAAAACCATATTCATGGCACATATATCACCAACTGTAAATCAAAATCAAAATCAAAACCAGGTATTAAGAAGAACAAGTTGACACAGTGTAAAGGAAGGATTATAGAAAAAGGGGAAAGCTGACCTGTTGCAAGGAAAACCGGTGGTGTCATTCTGGCAGATTCCTTTCCACTTTGCTGGAATGGGTCCAATCCCTTCGTCACTAAAACTCTCTGATTCGGCCCAAACACCTACCAAGCAAGCACCAGAAATTAAACACCAACTGATTTCACACTACCAGAAATGAACTAATATGCGCAAGATTCGAATTGAAAGAAAATGGTGAAAGAAAAGAAAATTACCGGTGTCAAGATTCCCTATGATTGTATCTTCACCAAATCTGGCCTTTTTCCATAAGGAAGTGGGGTGGATCACTCCATCCTTTTCCAGTAACATAAAGTCCCATGAATGAGTAGTGTGTAATTGTCTTCCTTGGTTTAAAAAAACTGAGACAACTTTTGGATGCTCTGCATTGGCAGTACGTACCAATTAATTACACATATATAATTATAATAATATGCATATGCATATGTGAGTTTGTATAACTAATACTATTGATGAATAGGATTCATACTTGCGATTTCAGCTGCCTCTTCATCTTCAAGGGTGGCAGCAAAACCATTGATATGCCTTTTGTATGAGTAAATAATTGCTTCTTTGGCTTTCTGGGTACTGCATGCATGCATTCGCGCACAAGCTTGTAAGAAGAAGAAAAAATCATGGATGACGGAGGGAGGGAGATTATAAGATAGATACTAGCTAGTACCTTCCCAGGAATGATCCGAGGAATTCAGAATGGGAATCAGTCACACGATGAAGATCAGCTTCTGAGACTTGTGGACCATGTGCATGCGATCCAAGGTACACTATGTAAGACTTGTCGATGTATATGATCACAAAACAGAGATTAGTTTTTGACAAAGAATGCAATGCAGCAGCAGCGAGACAGCAAAATAGATATATATAATTTGTATTTGTAGTCAGCGTAGATTTACTATTATTATTATAGGGAGGTATTACCTTTTTTATTGCAAAAGCGGGTACTTGAAACAGAGAAAGAATAAAGATTAATTGGACGAAACATGAAAGCTTTCCAATCCACATTTTTGCTTTGTCAGCGCTTGCTTGCACTAATTATTGAAGAAACTAGCACTCTCTCTCTCTCTCTCTCTCTCTCTGTCTGATCAAATCATAAGGAAATTAATCAATTGCAACAAGCAAGCAAGACAAGAGGCTCTGTTTGTGAGTGATTATTATTATACATATGTTATGTGCGGATATATACATATGTTTGTGTTCAAATCAAATTATGATTTATTTGCGACGATATGACAGCGGAAGAGACCTACGTTGAAAACAATCCTTTGAATGCCAAACTCTTACACAAGAAGAATTCTATAATCGATTTTCTACTAACTAATCTAAAGTTCTAAACCCAAGCTGCTTCTAATCCTTCCTCCGAGATTTGCTCCCTTTTCTTTTCTGTTTTTTTTTCTTGAGGTTTGATAGAATCTAAATTATAATTTCTAAATGGGACATTGGTTTGCTTTTCACACGTAAATCTGGTTCTCTGCAGCAGATCACTCGTTGTTTGGGTTATTCATTTGGGCCTCTCAGAATCTTGTATTAACGAAGGAAAAAGAAGGGTAAACTCTTTGTGTGGCCTTTAATAAAATGTTGTCCAAGCGGGCCCTTTTCTTTTTCTGAGCTCATGCCTTTTTTTTTTGGGTTTTAAAATCCAGGGGTGAGGAAAAGGGAAGAAACTCCAAAGCAGGCTAGCTACAGCCGCATATGCACTTGATCTAATCTTCAAATTTTAATAATTAATGATTTTGATTCAACACATTATTAATTCTACCTAACCTTGGAAGTTGGAGTTTGAATGATTTTCCTGTGGAACTAACATCTTAGAGCATCTCCAGCAGAGTTGCTATACTATGATTCTTAGCTATTTTAATTAGAATAAGGGCAAAACGCAGCTTCAGCAAATTTGCTATCTAATTCTCTATTTTAGAAAACTCCCTACTTAAGTTTGGTGGCTCTCTACATTTGGAGAGGAGAGAGAAATTAAGGGTTCTTCATTTCCTCCTCTTCTCTCTCCCTAGGCACACAACCCTCTCTCATCTCTTACTTTTTGATTTTTAATAAACTTTTAATTTAGAGAGGATGAGAGAAAAATAATAAAATATTAAAGATTAGCCAAAGTAAAGAACATTGCTGGAGAAAATTACTTTTAACTAGTTTTTTTATTTTTTTATTTTTTTTATTTTATTGTGTCAACCTTTCAAGTAGTTTGCTATAATAGTTTTCTAGCTATTTTAGCTAAAATTTTATTAAAATTTAGAGATCCTCCTAAGGCCCCATTTGGTTCATGAGAAATGATACTTGGGAATGATAAATCAATTGTTTTCCCATGTTTGGTAAGTCCAGGTATGGGAATCGTTGCCTGGCTCATGGAAAAATATGGGGAAAAGTGAAGCCATCCTCCCAACTTGGGTTTTGTTTTCCCTCATCATGGGAAAGTTTGGAAAAATGAGCTAACATTAAATACATATTTTTTATTACCATTTTATCCCCATTAACAATTTAGAATTACAATATATCATTAAATGCATTCTTTTTTTATTTGATTTAATATGGGTATAATTGAAAATTTATACAAACTTTGTTTTCCATTCATACTCAAAACAAACATGGGAAAGGAAATAAAGTAATATTTCCCGGTTACTTTCCCAGCATTACCAAACGTGGAAAAGAAATATTTCATTCTCATTCATTGGGGAATGACATGGAAAATGATTTTCCCTCAAATTCATTTCATGAACCAAATTGGGCCTAAATATGCTTTTATTCATTAATTACCAAGTTTATCAGGCATCTTGCATGCAATAATTGTCGAGAATAATTATTGTTTTGTTTGTTGAGCATCACTATCAGTGTATCAGGCATCTTTTATGCACGCCGTACATTGATTTGAGACAGAGAAAGAAAAAAACAAAAAATATGGAAAAAGGACTTAAGGTTGAATTGAAACCTCAGCCACAAGTTGCATATTATTGAGTACCCGCGGCTGACTAAATGCATACCTATTGGGCTAGGCTACATTACATGTCAAGACCAGAAAAAGGGAAAGTGAAGCAATGTTGTATTACCCTGTACTATTCTGTATTACCCTTCACTATTATGGCGTGTTTATTAATCAAGAATTGGAATTCTCATCAGGAATTGAATTTCACTGATTGAGGATTCATGCGTTTACTTCACATCAAGGAATTAAAAAGTAAATTGGGCCAATACAAAATTAGGAATTGAATTTCTGATTTTTAAGGAATTTAATTCTTGAGTGGGATGTGGTATTCTAATTCATGAAGAACTAACTTATTAGGAATTCATATTTTTTACCCATTATATCCTCACACAATTTTTAAAATTCAAAATTTACCAACTACTTTAACCAAACAATAAGGACATTTAAGTAATTAGTACAATTCATACCCTAATTCCATATGATTTATTAAACAACTTCAATAAGAATATGTAATATAACTCCCCTCAATCCATATGGTTTAGTATACAATTTCAATAAGAATCCGGAATCTAATTCTCCTCAATCCAACTCATTCTCGATTCAATTCCTCCTAATCTAATTACGGATTAGTAAACATGCCATTAATATAGGAAATTATCCAAAAATAACTCAATGTTGTGTTAGTTGATGAGTCTATGACCGTGACTCTGTGAGACCTGGCAACAGTGAGCAGACTCATTATTATTAATTATAGGCTATCAAGGGAAGGCAAGTTCACATCACCATAGCTACCATCCATCCATCCATCCATACATATACATACATACATACATACATATGAAAGCATCTGTTGATGCACAAAAATGGTCATACACTTTTGAGTCCAACTTGTGCGCTCTTCGGCAGAGTATGTAAGCTGCAAGACAAAGAACGAGCAGTGAGACCTTGGGCACCGGTGTGGTACAAGTTGGAGGCTCTCAATGCTTAAGTTAATATCAAGTATAGAGTGAATAGTGATCTAGACATAGTGATGGCTAAATAGTCGAATGTCGCAGTTACCTTGTTTTGGGGACTTGTGTCCCTATTTATAGATTTTGGGAGATGTGCATCTTGAATGAGATTTCAATGTGGGACTATGGGCATTGCCGGATGAGGCACCACGTGTCCTTGTGATGAGTATATGACCGTGACTCTGTGAGACCTGGCAACAGTGAGCAGACTCATTATTATTAATTATAGGTTATTAAGGGAAGGCAAGTTCACATCACCATAGCTACCATCCATCCATACATCCATCCATCCATCCATCCATACATATACATACATACATACATACATACATATGAAAGCAACTGTTGATGCACAAAAATGGTCATACACTTTTGAGTCCAACCTGTGCGCTCTTTGGTAGAGTATGTAAGCTGCAAGACAAAGAACGAGCAGTGAGACCTTGGGCACATGTGTGGTACAAGTTGGAGGCTCTCAATGCTTAAGTTAATATCAAGTATAGAGTGAATAGTGATCTAGACATAGTGATGGCTAAATAGTCGAATGTCGCAGTTACCTTGTTTTGGGGACTTGTGTCCCTATTGATAGATTTTGGGAGATGTGCATCTTGAATGAGATTTCAATGTGGGACTATGGGCATTGCCGGATGAGGCACCACGTGTCCTTGTGATATGGTATAAATAGCAGCAAAACCGAACTAGTATATATATCGTTGGTGTGTGTGTTGAGTGCAATCAAATCTTTGGGCCTTGGAGATCGACCATCCGTGATATCTTATTCTTACTTGACCAAAGACTGGAACAAAATGAAGGTATGTATGTATGTATGTATGTTACGTATGTGTATATCATCACTTAGCAAGCACGCCTTTGTTCCTCTGTCTTACATTTCTATTATAACACTCATGCAGCAGCAGCACTCTCACCCAACCCAATCCAACCCCATTTAATTATAAATTTGTGGTTTTGATATGCAGTGTAAGACTAAGAAGATTGTGATGAAAGTACCTATGAGTTGCCAGAAATGCCAACAGGAGGCGTTCAAAATTATTGCCGAAGCAGATGGTATGGCGGGTTAGTAATTATAAGTAGACCTGGCAAACGGGTTGTATTAACGGGTTTTGGGTCGTGTTCGTGTCAACCCGTTAAGTTAACGGGTTAACACGACACGACCCGTTAAGTTAACGGGTGACAAATTCTAGACCCAAACACGACCCGTTAAGAAGAAAGAAAGAAAAGAAAAAGAAAAAGAAAAAAAGGGGAACAACACGGCTTCTCTACCCAGCCTACTAACACCGCATTCTTTGTCCTTTTTCCCCCAAACTCTTTCTAGCAGCTCAATTCTTGAGAAGTTTCCAGAGATTTCAGTTATTATGGAGGAGCTACAAGTGCTTTATTTAGATGGGATTGCAATTAAAGAACTGCCCTTGCCAATTAATAAGTGCAGAAGAGCTAACCCCACTGTAATATGCCATAGTTCACCTCATGTGCCAGTAGCATATCACAAAAAACAGCAGTTGCTGTCCTAGGTCTTGGTTATGTTGGTGGAGAGGCAGTTTCTATTATGGTGAAAGCATTCAGGGAGTGATGAGATTTCTTGGTCAAAAGCTTTAGTGAACTTTATGGTGTTAAGATTTCAAAACCCAAGGTA